ACTAGGCTTTGTACCATTCTCGGAGTCAACGAGCTCCTAAATGGATCAAGTACTCGGCCACCTGTACTAAATGCAGACTCAGAAGCAACTGTAGAGATTGGAATAGCCAATACATCACGAACTATCCGAGAGAGAATTGGGAACCTTGTACTATTAACTTTCCAATAAGTTGAAATATCAAAGTTACTTTGATTGGCTTCAACATCCTCGCTTAGAAAATTTTCCAACTCTGATTTTGATTCGACACTTCCTTTTGTGGCTTTCAACCTTTTAAACTAACTTCTTACATCGGTTATTTGATTAACATCATCATATTCAATATTATTAGATGAAGCACCAATTGATTGTCCACTTGCATCTATTTTAGTTCCATATTTAATTTTGTACTCATTGAATAATGCAAATGCGGCATCTTTGATGAATTTTAACTTATCAATACTTTCTTTCTCACCGCATGTAAGCTTAAGAATAAAAGTCACAAAATCTTCTTTATTTCATGGCTCAAGAAGCGCCGCGATGTAAATTAACATGTTCGTCTTCTCCTAATTTCCCCAATACTTCTCATATTTATCTGTCATTCTATTAGCAATTCTAGCATATGATGCATCATCAGACAAATTTATCTGTCATTCTATTAGCAATTCTAGCATATGATGCATCATCAGACAATCTCCATTTTTGCAAATCACAAGCAATTAGCAATTCTAGCATATGATGCATCATCAGACAATCTCCATTTTTGCAAATCACAAGCAACATTACCGAGCGAGAGAGAGTGAGTCGTGAGAGAGAGGAAATGAGGAGCGACGGCTGGGAAAGGGAAAGTGGAAATGAGTTTAGGGTTTGAGTGACTGAGTCTTTGGGGTAGTGGGTCGGGTTTGAGATTCGAGTATTGTAACTATTGGGTATTCGGTCGATTCGGGTTGAAAAGTTTTCAACCCGACCCGAACTGCCTTACTCATAAAACCAATTTTTTTGGTCGGTTCGGGTCGGTTCGGGCGGTTTTTTGGTTTGGACCGAACCATGCTCAGCCCTAACTGTAGGATAATTTAACGATAGACATGAAAAGTTAAACTAGAAATCCAGATTAAAGTTATCGTTCACCGTCGAAAACAATGAAAGTCTTCTCCGAAAACAATGAAAGTCTTCTCCTCTCTCTTCCAGTAGGCAACGATGGGAATTTGGTATTTTTTTGCGTATGGTTGAGAGGAGGGACTCCTACCCTTAAAAAGATATTTGTGATTAACCCTACCCATCATGGTTTAATCACAACTGTGTGATTACACTCCGATCGATCCTATCCTTTATATAATCAAGATAAGCACCCAACTTGTTAAAAATGAAACTGTTTAACCAGACTATGTGGTTAACATCCTGATCCTAATTTGAATCGATGACAACTTTAAATCAAATCCAAAAACAAGTAGGTTGGGCCACACAGGTTCGTTGGATTAATCGAACCCAACACTCACAAAATGTATAAAATATTGAAAATTGGATTATATATCTATTTCCATATTCATATATTCATATAATAATATATAAAATATATAAAATTAGGTATCTTTTTGGTTATTCGGTATGTTTTCTGCTTCTTAGTTTCATTCTATATACATTAGCAACTTCTTAAATTTTGTTCTTAATATATTTTTTAAATAATTTATTTAATTTAATGTTTATCTAAATCAATGTATCTGAAGATATGATGTCCATCAATTCATGTTTCTAATAGTCATTTTCCAACTCATGTTTTATTAGATTTCAAAATCAACTAATCATGAAGAACCTCAAAATGGGGACACAATAAAAATGAAGATTCCACCAAATTTACAATATTAGAGTATAACGAGGAAGATGATACCGAGAGAATAAAAGAGAAACTACACAGGCAACACGACTCTAGAGTTGATAAAAGTATACTAACAGGAAAATAGTTTTTCCTCTAAGAAGAAGAAAAATTTTAGTAACAAAAATATATGTGATTTATGTTGGTTAATAAAACCACTCTCAACGTATCGATGAATGTTACAACTATTTTATAGAAATTGTCCAAACTAACAAGATGATTAATAATCAACAGATTATTGTATATAGTTTTGAGGCATAATGCAAATATTTCCACGTGCAATACACATGCTTTATACTAGTTTTCTAAATGAAGTATTAATTAAATAGAAATGTGTTGAGATTCACATTATTAGTGACATTGAAGCGGCTGACCCTCATATCTAGAATTCCTAACTACAACATGATAACCATTTGGATTAAATCCTTTTTTTTTTTTGCAATTAAAAACAAAGAGATCAACCCATAAGTATTACTTGTAGGGCTGTCCAAACTGGTTTCGGGACCCAGAAATCCCAGCCGGGCTAGGCTAGGCCGACTCGTTTGGACAGCCCTAATCAATTATCTAAATTTAGTTAAAGATTACTATCTGGTTTAATTGAATAATGGTTAGGGATATTCATATTGATAGTAATAGATTAGCTTTGGGTAAAGTTTTCTTTTAATATTAGTTTTAGTATATGAGAATTAGGCTTTAGGCCTGATTCTATGCTTTCAAGCACGCCTGCATAGCTATTCCATCAACCTCCTTCTTAGATACTAAAACAAGCTATAATTAATATAAAATATTAGTAAATTTTTTTATTTATTAGCAAAATATCTTCTATCAATAAATAGTCGATTTCAATTTATGCATTCATGCCTCCACAGTCCACAAAGTAACACATTCAGAGCACACTACTTATTATGCTTAATAAATCATACTCCCTTTAAATGCACGAGTTCGGAAAATCTTTCGATAGACAAAAATACATATCATAATAAAACCAAATACTATTATACAAAATAAGATAAAATCATAATTATATTAAGTAATTTAGACTCGTATTTTTAAAGGGAGTATAATATGATATGATATGTATGTGTTTATTTTTCTGTGTTAATCAACAACTAAATTTTTTAAAGGGAGTATAATATGATATGATATGTATGTGTTTATTTTTCTGTGTTAATCAACAACTAAATTCATAAATGTTCAAAGATTTTATCTTATTCATAAAGGGAGTATAATATGATATGATATGATATGTACTTAGTAACACCTTTTCACATCATATAATTAATCAATATTCAAACCTAGCTTAAATGCATCTCTGACCAAAGTATGTGTATATACCCCCTAATCAAATACATCATACTCCCTTTAAATGCACGAGTTCGGAAAATCTTTCGATAGACAAAAATACATATCATAATAAAACCAAATACTATTATACAAAATAAGATAAAATCATAATTATATTAAGTAAATTAGACTCGTGTTTTTAAAGGGAGTATAATATGATATGATATGTATGTGTTTATTTTTCTGTGTTAATCAACAACTAAATTTTTTAAAGGGAGTATAATATGATATGATATGTATGTGTTTATTTTTCTGTGTTAATCAACAACTAAATTCATAAATGTTCAAAGATTTTATCTTATTCATAAAGGGAGTATAATATGATATGATATGTACTTAGTAACACCTTTTCACATCATATAATTAATCAATATTCAAACCTAGCTTAAATGAATCTCTGACCAAAGTATGTGTATATACACCCTAATCAAATACACCATAGCCCAAAATTAAACTAAACCAAATGTTTCCACTGTCAAAATAAGTATAAACAAGCATAATTGGATTCAAAGTAATCAGAAAAAATTTGCACTTTACCTGAGATCATAATCAAATTACTAGGTTTAGAGGACGCTAATGGACGAGGCAACAAATTGGGCTATTTTTTTTAAACAAAACTGCATTTTCGAGATTATATGTAATTGTCAATCTTGTGTAATTAGTAAATGTCACTAATCATGCGGGATTAGTAACCCTATATATTATATTCCTTCACAATTTTTGACAAATACCATAATAGATTAAGTGGGTCAACCTTATGCTTTATTAGCCCTCTCCTTGAAAAGGTAATGAGGCTTGCTAATTACACGAGATTGACCATTATGTATAGTCTAGAAATTGATATCATTTTCCCGTTCGTTAAAAAGTACTCAGGAAAATAAAATAATTTCGCCCGCGTGCAAATCCCGTCGCGTGCACTATTTAAATGGGTATTTGGTTAGATGGAGATGAAGTTGTGAATGCAAATAAAGCATCTAGATCTATAGATCTATAAGCATCTCCAACAGCTTCCCCAAAATTTTCTCCAAAATGGAGAAACAAAAGTCATATTCTCCAAATTATTTTTGCTCAAACTCCAACAGCTTCCCCATTTTAAAAAATCGCATTTATTACAATAATAAAGCTCTCCTCAAAAATTTGGAGAATGCTGCAGATTTGGGGAAGGCTCCTTATTTTTGAAAAATTCTTTAAGGACCCAAAATATGGGACTAATAGGGGGACAAGTGAAGTGTCCCCCTTCTATTGGATAATGAGTTGACCGTCATTAATGATGGCAAACTCATTATCCAATAGGAGGGGGACACCTCACTTGTCCCCTCTATTGGTCCATATTTTGGGTCCCTGTAGCAAAGCTCCTTATTTTTTCTCCTCCTTCCCTATTTTAGGGAATGAGATGGAGAATCTGTTGGACCAAAAAAAAGCTCTATATTCCCCAAAATTGAGTATTTCAAGAAGATGGGGAAGCTGTTGGAGATGCTCTAACTATCTTGTTTGATTTACATCATTGTAGTTAGAAAATGTAAATGGACTTGAATTTTTTGTAGATAAAACTTGCAATAAATGCTATGACCAATCCGATGGAAGGAAAAACTACATGCTTAAAAAAAAATAGAATTAAAATTTTTAAAATAATTCCACCTCATAAAGAAAATTCCTTTTAAATCCAAATAAAAAAATGATAAAAATTTACATTTAGAAATCCATTACCTACAAAACACCCAAACATCAAAATTACAACAATCTTGCATGCAACTTCTGCTGCAATTTTTTTTTGCAGCGAACCTAACTGCCCCTAAACAAAACTACTATTAACCGTAGTCTCTCCCTGGGCTTAAAAACGGTACCCACCGTGAAGTCTCTCCCTGCTAAAAATCTCCGGCGCTCGTTTCCCGTCACATCGCGCATCGTCATCATCAGAGCGCGCGAACCAAATTCTCAGGCGAGCAGAGGCCGCCGGCCGAAACCGTAGGGCTCGGGCTGCTCCTTGGCCTCGTGTGAAGGATCGAGAAAAAGAGAAGATGAAGGGGCTCTTCAAGTCCAAGCCTCGGACGCCGGCGGAGATCGTGAGGCAGACGAGGGATCTGCTGATCTACTTCGATCGCCCGCCGGCGGCGGCCTCGTCGGCGTCGAGTTCGAGGGAGAGCAAGCGAGAAGAGAAGGTTCGTTCGCTGTTGGTTTGAATTTGTTTGGATTTCGGTGCTTTTGATTGGTTGATGGGCGAAGATTAGGTTTTGATCGGGAGTTTGAAATTTAGGTTTTGGGAATGTGAGTTGAGTGGCGGAAGTATTTCGTATTTTCTAAATGTGGCTTTTTTTTGGATATATCCTTCTCAAAGTGGTTACCTTGATCCGTCTAAACAAGTGATGCATTATTCAAATTTTAGCTTCTAGGTTCTAAAGCTGGGAAATTTGATTGCAAGATGAAATTGGGAATGCGAGATGAGGGATGGTAGAAGGACTTTCTTTCGGTATTAATAGTCCTCTACATGAGATTTTTAGCATGTTTACTCTTTATAGTTGCTATCTCGATTTGCCCTTTTGACATTATAGCTTTGAACATTGTGTTATCTTAGTTTTAGCTTCTAACTGTGAATTCAATGAATTGCAAGATTATGTCATGAAATTAATTGTTTTGCTTTGATGTGGGACTATTTTGTTTATCGGCATTCTTATATGTGATGATAGTTAGGGCTTGCTTGATGGTTTTAAATTGAGATTTTAGTTCTTTTTTGTGGGCTTTCTGTAGTTACTGTTCTTAATTCTTGTGTAAATTGCGGGAAGGTCAGTTGATCTGAGTTTTTTTTTAATATTTTTACGGATAAGGATGAGAAATAGGAAAATGTTCATTTTCCTGCACTGTTCTGATTATCTTTCACTGTGGTAATCTGCATCTGGATGTCGCTTGATATGCTAAGCACCTTACTAGCATGACTAAAACTTTAGCTTGTCAATATCAAGCAGTCCAAGTTTTATTCTTTACATCAATAGTCTAAGCCTGTGGAAATTTCCCTCACTTACAAGTGCTCTGTCATAGTTTTTGGCGTGCTCATCTAAGCATGTCCGGAGATGAACAGAGATAGAAAATAGCATTATGAGGTCCTCATAGGGGTGTCCATTTTTCATATATATTTTATATATTTTTATATGTAATTATATTATGATATGGTTAATCATATAAATATATAATGTAGTTATAAGTATATTTATATATGTGTACATTATAGAATTACAGTTATATAAGTATATATAAGTGCATAAGTATAATTATATATAAGTATATTGCATCTAGTATATATAAAAGTATATCATATAAGTAAATTGTATAACTGTACTTAAATAAACATAATGGAAGTATGTAAATACATATATGATATATATTTATGTGATTCTCTCTCTCTCTCAAGTTATAACTTATAAGTATATACAATATATTTACATATAATATATGTATATATAATATATAGCTCTATACACACACACACACACACACACTCTTAGCATGGTATAGATGCTAAGATATAACAATATAAATATATATAATGTAGTTATAAGTATACTTATATGTGTATATTATAGAATTACAGTTATATAAGTATATATAAGTGCATAAGTATAATTATATATAAGTATATTACATCTAGTATATATAAAAGTATATCATATAAGTAAACTTTATAACTGTGCTTAAATAAGAATAATGTATGTAACAAATACATATATAACTATATAATACGTAATTATAAATAAGTAATATATATATTTATGTGATTCTCTCTCTCTCTCATGTTATAACTTATAAGTATATACAATATATTTACATATAATATCTGTATATATAATATATGGCTGTATATATATATATATATACTCTTACCATGGTATATATACTAAGATATAAGAATATAAATATATATAATGTAGTTATAAGTATACTTATATATGTATATTATAGAAATACTAAGATATAAGAATATAAATATATATAATGTAGTTATAAGTATACTTATATATGTATATTATAGAATTATAGTTATATAAGTATATATAAGTGCATAAGTATAATTATATATAAGTATATTACATCTTGTATATATAAAAGTATATTATATAAATAAATCGTATAACTGTACTTAAATAAGCATAATGTAATTTTTATTAATTAGTTGGGAATAGCAGATAGAGATAAAGAGTAGAAATTATTCATTAGTTTATAATTTTTATTTTTGGCTAAAAATTTATGATAAATTATTTTGGAAAGAGTTGCAAATGATAGTGATATAGATGAGTAGGTGCCAACCTAGTTGGGATGTATTCATCTATTGTGATGTGACAAATTTCAAAATAAATTTATAATTGTTAGTGATTAACTGATTATTAATAAAAAATTTATTTTTATCATTTTAATTTCTATAATTTTTTATATTTGTAAATTATAGAATTACAAGTGATTAATAATATGATTGTTTTTTATCAAAATTTCACTTAATTTATTGTTATTTACTCTTGAATTTTTTAACAAAAAAAGAAAATATCCAGGCCGGCCCGGTGCCTGGCCCACTCGGGCCCAGGCCCGGGCCAACCGGGCCTGGGCCCGCCCGGGCCAACCGGGTCCGGGCCCCGGGTTTGTCCAGCCCGGGCTCGGTTTGCTGGGCCGGGCCTGGTTGGCCTGTTTGGGCAGGCCTAGGTCCTCACACAATGATCTGTCATATTTTTTGGCTAGAATTTTGTTCATCTATTCAGGCAAGCTTGTTCTTCTTTTCCCTGGCTGTTGATTCCTTCTAGGATGTCCCTCAAGCAGTTTCTGCTAGTGAAGTTGTTTGGATGCTGGTTACAAGTCTAATATTTTGTTTTTTCACTATACTGAAACCTAACTTTGTGGAAGACATTATCACATGTCTTGCTATGGAAAGGTATTTGTCATGAGATAGTGGTACAATTCCAAGAGCATTCACTTTATTATGCTCCAAATTAGCCAATTCTTGGAATTAGAATATTCTTTTCTTTTGCCAGGATCTGTAGGAATTTCTGTGGCTTGGCTTACTTTATTTAAACTTTCTCTTCCATTATGTATTTTTGACTAGGAATAGGAGACAGTTTGGTAAATCTTTATTGTCCTGTACATGTACTTATTGTCTCTGCTTATATTCTACCATACCCTCTTCCAGATGGCAGAATTATGTAAACTCATCCGTGAACTGAAGGACATTCTTTATGGGAAAGGCGAGTTAGAACCGGTTGCCGAAGCCTGCACGCAGTTGACTCAGGAGTTCTTTAAAGAAAATACTTTCCGTCTGCTAATTTTATGCATACCTAAATTGAGCTTGGAGGTAAGTCTCACAAGCTAGTTGAATGTCATGTACCTCTGACTTCGATGGTAATGTATTTTCATTGCTCCAGTTGCTGTCCATTTATATCACCCATGTTATTTATTAGATCTATTAGTATAATATTAATGTTCCAGCTATTGTAGATGATATCTTTATCCCAGTTGACTCTTTTGAACATGGTTCAATGGATTTACACAGGCTTGTAAAGATGCTACTCAAATTGTTGCAAACTTGCAAAGGCAACAAGTTCATTCACGGCTTATTGCATCTGATTACTTGGAAAAGAATAAAGATCTTATGGACATTTTGATATGCGGGTAAGTTGTAATTTTAAGAAATTCCTGTTGAGTTTTATAATCTTATTTAAACCTGTATTAATTCTAGCCTTTTACAATTTGCATTACAAGGTTTTATTTTACTCAATATCTGCCTTATGGACTTCTTTTTATATCTCAAACAAATTAGCTCATCAAGAAATATAATAATTCTAGCCAAGATTTTATTCCCGTTGAAGCTTTGTTAAATTTCTCGTTACAAGGTATCATGGATTTGTTTGTGATATCAATTCAATTTATGATTATGGTAGGACAGGCTCCCAGTTATGATTTACAAGTAGTCATATCACAGATGGTTATACCCTTATAGTTTTCATAAGTTTGACCTCATGCAATTATGAAGTGTCTGCATGGGATATTTTGCATATTTCAGTAATTTAAGTGATGCTGGATATGATTATGTCTTATACTCATAGGTAAGCACGTATATGCCTCCATTAAATAGATGATTTGTGCTTTTGACCTTCCACTTGTGGTACTTGTGTAACAGAATTTCAGGTGGACATAGTAGGGGCTGGGATCATATGTTAGTGCATCAGAATTTGGGGGCAAAGAAATAAATGAAAAATCCTTGTTCAAGGACATGAATCAAGCAACACATTGTTTCACTGTCATTTATTTTTCATTTTGAGATGTTATTTTTGTTTCGTAGGTTAGTTATATCATGTATTTTTTTTCTTTAGTGTTACTTGTTCCTCACTTTCTTGTTCATAGAGAGATTCTTTCGTTTGTGCATAATGTGACTTTGATTAGCATACCTGTGTGTGGGTGCAGGTACGAAGACATGGATATTGCATTGCATTATGGCTTTATGTTGAGGGAGTGCATTCGGCATCAAAGTATAGCAAAGTAATCTTTTGACTAAAAATATCATTACATGCTTGATCCTTGTGTTCAAAAGAATTCCGTGAGATCCAGCTAGTTAGTGTTTTATTATTCATATTGAGATTGAGATAGTAATTATTGATAGGAGGGAGAAGTACTTTGTAAATTGTCATACTGCTTTCTAAAATAAGTAGCGTTACTCTATGATATGTAGGACCTTCAACAAAAAGGTTTGCGTGTCAAATACACCTGGGCACAACGTGTCCGGGACTTGTAGGTTTGAAAACTGCTATTTTATATACAAAATGGAGTATGTTGTACCACTTTTGACTAAAACTAATTTATTTTCTAGATTATCTTGTTAAAGTTAGGTATTTCATACTAGTATTATGGCACATGCAACAGACATTAAGACTTCATTATTCTAATTTTTATATAAGAGGCTCACTTTAATACCCCAAAGTATCATCGACTTCTATAAGATCTTTTTCTGATATTTGTTCATTTGATATGCGATATTCTATCGTACCTTGTTCAAAATTGGCTATGACATATATTTCAATTTGAGTGATGAGGCAATTTTTCTAGATAATATCATCAATAAGAGTCTCTTTTCATATTTCATCTTTAGATTATTATATTATTTTTAACCTAAGTATTTAGATATATACTTCCGATAATATTTACATTGCAATGTATTGAAATTCTAATTGTTTTTATTGCATTTATTTGTATCCCTTTTTTTTAGAATTGACCTTTATCATTGCATATTCATATATTTTTATAATGGTATGCTTTAGGAAGTTCTAGACAAAAGAAGAAAGAGAAGAGTATCTTCTATAAAATTACAATTATACCCTCGAATACAATATGAATGGATGCCCTCCACAATTTTCACTACCCTTACAGTGTTTTTATATAGTCGTATAGTAAAATTTTTTAAGAGTCATAATTACAACTATAGTCGTCGTATGCGGAATTCCATCTGACACCTTTCGTTTGTTTGGAAGCACGATACTTATGTCCTCGTGTCCACTAATTGTTGGTGTCACTTTTTTTTTCATTCGCGAGGAGCTAGTCCCTTGTTTGATAGGAGGATTTTGCTTAACCTCCCATGCAAGAAAAGAAGTCTCCTTTAGGGAATAAGCCAAAATGCATCCGTATGTCACTACTTTCCACCCATAGTTGTTTAAACTTTCTTTGATATAAACTATCATGTGATCATTTTAGGAGACAACTTGCTTGCATTAGTGTCAGATAGATATTTCCTTCCACCCAAGTTCTGATAAGCAAGACATTTCCATATTTCAGCCTGCTGGCTAGTTTTGCCTAAATATTCCAATCCTGAAAAGGGGTTCGTTCTTCAAGTAATATTATTAATTCGTACATGGATTAGTATGACATCTTCAAGGATCCAGCTTGGTATTTGCAATCATGCAAGTACGGAAAACCATGAACAAAGGTGGAGCATGCACTGATCTGTGGTACCCCGACACGACAATTTTGGCGTCGTACCTGTGTCGGGTGCGGTTTGGGTTCGTTTCCGCACCCAAATGGAGGGGACACAGGAGAAAATAAGCACGGAGATCGAAGATGAGGTCGGGGAAGCGTCGACGAGGGTCGGGAAAGCTTCGACAAAGTCGGGGAAGCGTCGACGAGGGTCGGGGAAACTTCGACGGGGTCGGGGAGGATTCGACGAGGGTCGGGGAAGCGTCGACGAGGTTGGGGAAGCTTCGAAGGGGAACAGGGTTTCGATAACACGATATTCTCGTGGCGGTGTAAGGAGAGAAATGAGATCTATGGTTCTCAGTTAAATAGGGTTAGGGTTAGGGTTTAAGCACCCGTTTTGATTCAATTAAATAGAGTTTGGGTTTGGGTTTAAGCACCCGTTTTGATTCAGTTAAATAGGGTTTGGGTTTGAGTTTGTTTATTTTTAGCACCCGTTTCGATAACATAGTTATAATTTTAAGGAGTGAGCTTATTTCTCAATTTGAAATTAAACATAGTAAAATTGTTATAGTTAATATAATTGTTAATTTTTAATTATATATATATATATATATATATGAGCCATGTCCCCGTACCTAATTTTTACAAATTTGCCGTGTCCCATACCTGTACCTATGCAACCTTGGCACTGATACATTTCGGTGAAAATAGTTATGTTGCATTGCACTTAGTTTGGACGAACATATGAAAACTATAATAAGGTGTAAATTGTTCCCAAAAGTAAATGTTATTTTATTAGCACCAAAGGAGGCATACTTTTTGTTCAGAAAACCTATGTGAATCGAAATGTAAAAGGATTTGCTAGTTATAGGAATGGTTATACGCATTAGAGGTTCTTTATTCAGCCATCAGCTGACCCTTAATCAACCACTTATAGTCTCTTCTCCTACCTTCCTCTAGCACCGTATCATATTATCCATGGTTTTGTATGTTCCTTTAAATCTCTGAAGTAGGGTTGATCATTTTGTAGCCACTGATATTTGGTGTACAGTACACAGTCATGTACCTTTTCTTAGAATAGTAGTTTTTCTGTGATGCACAATTACCTTTTTTCAGAAAAGTAGTTTTTGTGTGATGCACTAATTTGATGCGAATTGATGAAATAAGCTTTCGTGCTAATCTTATGTACGCCACCATCAAGCTCTATTATTGCTTAGTGCATGTAATATACAAAATGAGCACCTCCAATAACATTATACATAAGGGTGAGCACATGTTTCACCATATAAATTTCTTATCAGCAGCTTAATGGAAGTTTACAAAATGGTAATTAACTTCAATATTGAGTGGCAAAGTTGCATAGTAGGATGTGTATCACATGCTTTTTTCTGGCTAATCATCAGTGACTGCTTTTGTTTTAAATTCTTCATAAATGTCATTCTTTATTCAAATATTAAATAATGTTCAAGTTGCTCAAAGGTTCACCGGGTGGATGGATTATGCAGAACTTAGTTCTTAAAGACATTTTCCAATTTTCTGCCCTTTTACAGGTATGTTTTAGAGTCTGAGAACATGAAAAAGTTTTTCGATTACATACAGATTCCAAACTTTGACATAGCATCGGATGCTTCTTCAACTTTTAAGGTCAAATTTCTGACTCCTTGACATTGATAATGATTATAATGGCTTTTGCTTTGTACTACCTGAGTGCTTCCCTTTGTTATACGATTGTTGCTACTGTGGCACATAGTTCTACTCTGTGTTCTGTCTTTTTGGCTTTGATTGTCTATATTCACATTTGTCATTAGTTTTAGTGCTAAAGTGTCCTGTTTTTTCTATTGCAGGAGCTTTTGACGAGACATAAATCTACTGTTGCTGAATTTCTTTCTAAAAACTATGATTGGGTAAGTGGTTACCTTTCACCCAAATTAAAAGTTTGATTTTTTTATTGCATATTTCACATTGTTTGGGAAACCGTCCTGTAAAACCATTAACAGTAATATCAAAGTTTGTTCTAAATTTTTAGGTCCAGGGGTAAGATCAAAGTTTGTTCTTTTTAGGTCCAGGGGCGTCCTTTCTCCTGATTCTCCTTGTATCATCCTGATTATTCCTGCCTACGTGCAAGGCTGGCTGTTTTTATAGTTTATTAAATTAGTCGGTTGAGTGAAGCTGGTTCAGTAAGGATCCAATCAGGTTGTTTATTTGTGTTTTTCTCCCCGGACCTTGAATAGAAAAGAGGACAAGGATGAAGTCAATCTGCATTTTTGAGATAAGCTTCTTTTTGAAGTGAGAAGTTTTCAGAACAGAAGCTTCTCTTCTCCCTATGAGAATCAAAGAAGCCGGAGTATTTGTGAAATTTAAACAAGAACCTGATCACCCTACAAGTATAGAACTTCTTTAATCAAGTAGGATTCAAGATTCAAAGTAACAGATGGGGATCAGATCAGAGCCCATAGTCAGATTCGGTATGAGAGGATAAATGAAACAAAAAAGAGATCATGGATCATTTTAGGGATGAGACGGAGCAGAAATATAAGGTTCCGTTTGGATACCGTGGTGTTTTACTTGTTTCCATGATGTTTTTGTCAAAAATAAAACACCATGTATTTGGAAACCATGATGTTTTTTGAGCTAAATCATCTTCAAACAAAAAATACAACACTTATTTCAAAACACCTTTTAAGTGTTTTAAGTTAGAAGTTTTGGTTTTGAGTTTGAGAATGTGTTAATATAATATCTAACATAATATATTAAATATAATTAATATAGAATTATTATCAACATGCTTATTATATTATACTATACTAAACTATATTATAGCTAATTTAATATATTAGTAATATTTATTAAATGATATAAAAATATAATAAATAAAATATCTTATATAATAATATAATAACATATTAAATACCAATATTTAAT